TATTTTAAAAACAATCGTAAAAAGTTATAAAAAAAATAATAATTACAATAATCAGATAAATGTTTAAGTAAAATACAATTTCAAAAATACACACACTTAAAATATTATGATTCACGTGAAAAGCGTTGCGATCAACGTCAATCGGTTGTATCACTATATGGAGATTTGAAAACGACGCCGACTCATCGGAAGGTTTCAGATGAACTACTCACTAGTCACTACTCACACGGCACACAAATACACAGCACGTCCCGTACTCCCGTAACGCCCTTGAATTCAATATGTCGCAGCAAACAACACATGTTGAGTGGTTACCAAACAAACCAGTTTGACGCGTCATCAGTTCGCCGGATCTTGCAACAATATTGGAAACCAATATAACCGTTGAGTGGGGGGACCCGTGTAACGTTGGTACTATATTGTAGTTATTAATATGATTATAATAATTTCCGTAAATCGTTGACGAACTCGCAGACTCTGACAGACGCTTCGTTTGGTTTCCTGTATAATAATGTGTCCTGGAGGGAAAATTATCGATAAAATTTCAGCATGTTTTTAACGTTTATACGTTTATTATGATACATTTATTTAATTAATTATTGTAAGCTACCTTCGATAAACCTTGTGCTCCGGGAGTAGGGTTTATGGTATAATTTAAATATTCCAGCAAGTCCACGTAATCCACTTTATTTGTCTCGCGATGAGCAAATCTAAAATAAAACTTATTTTTTAATATTATTAATTAGGTATAAACCGTACAAACTTCGGATTTGTAAATTCTTAAATAACAGGTTTATTTATAAACGCCGTAAAGTTAATTTGTACAGTGTAGGAAGAGGACAATTTAACCAAAAAGTACACACAGTATAACATTTGTAATAAACATTCAGTACACACATATTATATTCACAAATCACAATTTATTATTATGTACATATTGTATTGTGAACGAAATTTTGTCTCCGGAGGGGGGGGGGGGTATAGGAGTGTATGACCCCCATATCGACCCTCACGTAGATACGCTACTGATATGTATAATGTGTATACTTTGTATAGAGTGATAATTTTTTTAAATCCTCTAATAAAAGGCTTACATATCCCGTCACTTCCTGGAAATCCCCGCCGCAGGCTAAAAAGAAAATGGTTTAGGGATCTTCGAACTTAATCCTAATAAGTTGTAAATAATCATATAATAAACAAGCTAAGTACTACCGATGGGTGGCTTCTTATTCACGTAACCCCTTACTGTTTTGTACCCCAATATCACATATACTTATTGTGCTTATTTAAGTATAGATTATATATTTCTTGTAAAAATAAAAAAATAAAAATTGAAATGTACATTATGTTGTAGTATCAAGTATCAAGTATGAACTACATATTATATTAAGTTATACTTTATATTTTATTCTACGAGTATTACTAAAAACCTTGTTTTGAATTATTTTTTTTTTATTTTCTCTGACGCTTTTGAAAACTACTGACCATTCATTTTCCCAACAGAAAAGTTACTGAAGTTGAAAATGAGTGAATAAAGTTTATAATAAAAAAATACACATTGTAAAATCAGTACATTCATTACTGTAGAATACTATTGCTATTATTATAGAATTAAAAATATAATAAAATTGACCAAGGCCCTATTTGAGGGGTGTTTGGAGGTTTAACCCCCCCTGCAACTTGTTTTAGTTAATTAATTTAATTTATGAAACTAAATTAGTTATAATAGTTTACCATATTATTATTATTATGTTTGTATTGTTATACACTAATACTTTATTATAATAGTGCGAATACAAATTTTGTTGGCATTTGCTATGAATAATAAATATAGGTACCACAAACGATTTATCGATAACGATACCTTATTGAACACTTTTGTCAACAAGTCTATTGTCTATACCCGTATTGACGTTTTTATCCGAATTCGGCTATGAAGCATTTAATAATATAATATGTAATATTGTAATATAATTACATTTAAATTCTGAATTTTTAGATTCTGAGTGAATCGATGAATGTATTGATTTTACAATGATGGGTGTTTTTTTATTTTTGTGTGTCTGTCATCCCTTTTAGGACAGTAAAAGTGCTTGGATTTTCTTGAACAGTATCTTTTCTGATAGGAAAGTGAATCTAGTTGGTACTTTGGGGGGTCAAAAGTAAAAATTGTCCAGTAGTTTTCAAAAGCGACGTGAAAAAAAAAGAAAAATTAAGGAAAAACTGGAATTTTTATGCAAAATCTGTTTTCGAGAAAATCGATTTTAGTTTTTGGTGCAACTTTATAAAAAATTACCGACATGAAATTTTTACTGACTGTTTATATTAGCATTTTCTTTACACCATAACATTTTCCAAATAGTTTGACTTATTTTGAGCTCATTTTCAGTTTTCATTTTTTTTAGTTTTTTTTTTCTATAAATATCAAAAAAATTTTATTTGTTGATTAAAAATGCTTGAAAATTTAATAGAAGGCTCCTAGTATACTGTTTCAAAGGTAGATGAAAAAAATGAAAAATCCTTAGTCACAGTTTTTTTTTATAAGCATTTAAAGTTCAAATATTGAAAAAACACGAAATCTTGCAAATTATTTTTAGTTAGATATTCATAAAAATTTTTCTTTTTAAATCTAAGATTTGAAAATGTAATACAAGATTTTTCATAAGTTTGTCTATGTTTATTAAAAAAAAAATGTCAAAAACAAACTCAAACTAAATTTTTATGAGCCTTTAAAATTCATATTTTTACAACATTTGATATTCACTCGATTTCTCATGTAACGATTTTCGGTAATAATTCAAAAACGAATGACTCCAGATACATGCAAATTTCACTGAATGTTTGTTTTATCAATTTTTATACTTGATAAAAGTTTCAAAATATTTTTACGATTTTTGAGCTGTTTAAAGCTTTTTAAGGTTGGCTGTCAGTTTTCAATTTTTTATTTTTTTTTTCTATGAATATCAATAAAGTTTTATCTGTTGGGCCAAAAAGTGTAAAAATTTAATACAAGGCTCCTGATATATTGTTACAATAGCAGTTGAAAAATATTAAAAATACATGGGCACAAATTTTTTTATAAGTATTTAAAGATCACATTTTGACAACATTTTTCAAATTTAAAATTGAATAATTATATTGTAGTTAAAAATGTATAAAATGTTCAACTTTTATATCTAAGTATTGAAAATTTAAAACAAGATTCCACGTAATTAGTTAATTCTGTTACCAAAAAATCTAAAAAAATACACAAGTACAGTGTATTTTTATAGTCATTTTAAGTTCAAATTTGGACGAACCTAGTTATTTTATGGTGATTGTATAATATTATTCGTGGGTACTTTAAACTTCTAAAGTGTACTATTATATATCTATGATAGTATCATGGTTTGTTGTTGATGTATAACGCGTTATAATAAGTACCTAATGAATATTGTGATATGAATAATTTGGAATTTATTATAGGTCAATTAATTTTTTTAATACCATAGATATATACGATAATAATATGTCTTATACCTAGACTGACATACCGTCTCCGCTCAGAATCGTTTTTCTTTTACAATGATATTGTATCAATGATTTCTAATTTAATACCATCCATTATACAGTGACCCACTTGTGACTTGTAACCTACTGTACAGCAGAGCACCTTTTTTCCAAATATATATTTTCTTTTGAAACTATGAGATACATTATCAGTTACGATATCAATACCAGAAAGCACATTTTCTACCATGAAAAGATTAAAAAACTATTTAGGTAAGTACGAAACTCATCAGACCAAGTACATCGAAGTAACCTCTAAAAACTTGGACCGTACTCGGAACGGATGTGTGAGAACTGTGAATTTAATATTATACATTGAAAAACGATGGATAAGTTCGTATTTCCGAGTACACGGATACCCTGACGGATCAGACTCGGAACGGACCAGGATCGGATGTGAGTACGCAGTGGCGTAGCCAGCAATTGTTTATGGGGGAGGGGCTAAGTATACAAATACAATATGTTTTTTATTTACACTTTTTATTTTTTTATTAATCTTGATAAAATTCTAAAGTCAACAAGGTCAATTGGGGGGCTATAGCCCCCTTAGCCACCCCCTGGCTAGGCTACTGTGTGAGTACGTGTGAAAGGACCTTTACAAATCTAGCTCTTAAGTATTTAGTAATTTGAGTGTGCATAGTAAATAGACAAATTAATATCAACCCAGAATCCAGATGACTAAATTGATTTTTTAGCAAAAGAAAAAGATACTGCTAGACTTAATACTATAAAAAGTTTTATTTAAAATTTTGTGCATCACACATGTAATGCATAAAAAACCACTTAGCCTAACCTAACCTAACCTAACCATACTTAGATAATTATTATTATAATATATACATTTTTTAGTTGGTTTTTTATATTATGAAAATATATTATTTGGTTTTAAACCCCTCCCGAAGATTTGTTCTAGCGACGGCCTTGTAATTGACAACACTTAATATAATTAATTCTTATAAATAAAGAAATTGGCATTTTTTCTTGGCTTTTTTTTCTGACAATAGTGTATTATACATAAATACTTCATCTTACCTCTCTAATAACATATTTATAATTTCAGTGGAAAATGGTAGTTTTGCACTTTTTAAAGCTTTGAATGCACTACTGCGTTCAAGATATCCGTCCTTCTTATCCAAATTTCTTTGTTTGAAATTAATTTCAAGTCCGTCGAAACCTACAAACAATTCTCGCTTCAACTCGTCCTGTAAAATGCTTCTGAATAAATTGTCAGATACTTCTTTGTACATTCCGTGCTTTTTGTACTGTAATGCCAAAACAAACATGCCATGGCGACTAAAATTTGGAAACTTATTCAGCATTATTTCGATAAATTCGTTTCTTTCGATTTCATTTTTGTTTTGGAAATGTTTTGTTTTTAAAGTATCTATATCAGTTTTTATTATTTTTGATATTTGATTCATTACGTAATGAACGTCACTATGCGGAAACTATTAAAAGTGTATTTTTATAAGTTTTGGATTTTTATCCATAGTATGAACACAATGCAAACTCACTTCTTTTGGATGATCCATCATAAACTTTAACGTCCTATCCTCTACGTCAATAAACACAAATTTGAAACCATCTATGATTAATTTGACACCAACGTATAGTTTAAATATTACATTAAATTCATTTGGACTTTCTTTTGGAATTTTTCGTTTTGAAAAAAACCTACAACCTATTGCACCTAAAAAATTCATGAAATCAACAAGTTAGTAAATGCAGGTTAATATAAATGCCTTAATATAATAAAACTCACCAGCCGTTTGTATATTCATTTCGGAAACAGAAAAACTTTGATCGCTTAGAAAACATTTTACGATAAATTCTCGATTTAGATTGTTCGGTTCCTTAGGTAGAATTTTTGCTTTAAAAACTAAGGCTTCCATTGTTGAATGACTAAGTAGTTTATTCAAAACATTTTCATCGTGACACACTGGTATGGTTTGGACAGTCGATTTTTCTTTCTCTTCTATGAGAGAGTCAATTTCAGAAGGAAAATTATCTAAATTATAATAATAATACATCAATTATATGTAGGTACCTACAATATATCAAGCATTAGAAGTATATTGTTATAAATTATAAACTGGTTAAGTTATAACTAATAACTAAAGACCGGATTTTTATGCAGCTAAAACCTAAAAAATGTGCAATTAAAATGTTAAAATGTGCAAAAACGTGCAAAAACGAAATTTTCTTTATAGGTACTTCAAATTTTAACTTTAATACTATTTTTTTTTATATTATTATTTATTACTAAAATAATAATAAACTGACAATATATATATAACTGACTTTACAATATTTGATTATGATTTATAATCATGTACATTTCCAAGTTTTTTCTTTAAAATTATGTCTTCTGTCACTTAATATGTGTTTTAACTTCGAAAACACACGTTCTACGTCAACACTTGTTTATCGGGCATTGGTTGTAGTAGCTTATAATAGCAGGATCTTCTTTTAAATCTAAGTTATTTCCATGTATTGAATTTTTGTATACTTTTAAAATATTGTAATAAATGTGATCGAATAAATGTTAAATCAGATATAATTGATATTGTACTCAAAATGGATTTTACTTTTTTGACAGATTTAACGTCATCTTCTATATTAATATTAGATACCTATTCTTTAAATTTACTGAAATTTTCAGAGTAAAACAATGTAGCTTCTAACCATGTTCCCCGTCTCGTTATTACAGGTTCTGGATGAAGGTGACAGTCCATTTTAATAATTACGTCGTATTATATCGTTATATATATATAATTATATTGTTAGATATAAAAGTCCAACATAACAACATAATATAGCACCGATAAAAATAATACAAAAATACGAAAATATTTGTACAAAAGTACATTTTTATAACCTACTCAAACCATAATCTGAATAATATTGCTTGGTATACTCGTCACAACTAGACAAGACTATTTTTCGGCTATAAACGTCAATTTCAGCTCCCACATGTAGATTCGACCAATGATAATAACAATCTTGAGAATCACTCAAATTTCCCAAAGGATCAAAAGCATACCATTGGTTCATCGAATTTATGGCCAAAACATTCAATAAATCATTTTGTTCACTAAAACCCGGTGGTTTTACATAAATTCGATCCTAAAACAAATCCGATGCATCATAATAACTTAGCATACATTTATATAGTGTTTTATTATGGTGTAATACTTTTGGAAGTTTTTGTCTTTTGAGAAATGTCTTTAAACCACCATCTGAATTATGTTCAACAATCTGCATTGTATCGTCCGCTAAAAAGTAACGAACTTCCAAAATATGTAAATCGCCATCAACATTGTAACGATCGTCCCAAAAACCTTTAAAATTTAAAATGCCTTCGAATCCTTGAGTTTGTTTGTAGGTGGGTGCCATTACTTTGCTCGTTGGATGTTTTTTTTTTGGCGTCTGTTTATTATTTGTAATACAGTACATCATTAGAATTATAAAAAATAACTAATAATCATATTATCAAACAGTTATAATTATGGTTTTGTATATTAAAGAATATTAGTATTACTTTTTCTCTTCTAATAAAATATGGGTCAACGGGCATTGACATATTTTCGGGTACATCAACGCCTGCTTTTTTCAAAAAATCTCTTGTGAAACTATCGACGCCAATTATTTTGAACTGTTTCCCATAAAATTCCACAGTAATTCCGACATTGAAGTCTAATAGTTGATAGTAGTCGTTATTGTTATTTGATAACGGAATTTTATGTCGTTTTATTAAACATCCTAGTTAATTAACCAAAAAATGTATACAGTTATTTAGATAACAAATAATATGGACATAATATTATTACAGTCGAATACCTAACGGAATAAATAATATCTGGCAGGTGATTACAAAAATTAACTTTACTATACCTACTTGGCTACCTACATATAATCAATACATCATTACAACTTAAATGTTTTGATATTAACTTGTAATTAGTTTATTAGTTTATTTATTATTATTTATTATTATTGTAAATTATAAACCATGAGTAAGAGATAATATTGTATGCGTAGAAATCATAATTTAATAGATCAAAATAATTAAAAATATATAAATTATAATTTATAAAGTATGTAATTATTAAAAATCATCGAACAATAATTGGACATATTATATTTGTTTGAAATTTGAATCATTTGAATTCTCTATTAATTCTCAACTCGATTATCTGCTACCCTAGTTTTACAGCTATTTAAATGTTATAAATATCATAAATAATAATATATACTGAACTACAGACCCACTTTAGGTATCTGGCATTCGTATCGTATACTTCGCTCAATTCGGTGCATATAGAAGACACCTAAGTATACAGCTGGCTAATGAAAGTGTGTCATAATATTAAATTTAAAATAATAATTACAACTGTTACTTATAAGTTATTACATTCGGTAAAATATCCTGACACAAACTCGATTTACAAACGTTTACCTATTAGTTATCCTTTATCTTAGTAAATATATGGTTATTCATAAAATCAAAAAATGGCCTCTCTAATAGAGTATTATAAAAATAATAATATAGGTATACCTACTCAATTGTCAAGGGTGTTACATGAACATCTTTTAATGCTTTTACTGTACTAGGTACCTACCCGAAAAAGCATACATTATATACCTAGTAAGTACTAAGTTCAATAAAAATTAACGAAACAAAATTATAAATCCAATATCTTTGTTGCTTTTTAGTTCTCACAGAATTTATAATTAACATAATTATTTGGCATAAATGCATTTTAAATACACACTTAACAGCTAACAAATGGAACTAAGCTCCTGTGGCTTAAATCACTTCTTAGCGCTTATGTTGCTATAAGTGTTCAAAAAACATAAAAATATATACCATAATATAATGATTATTGGCATTATGTATTTTCTTCTCTAGACGACCTTGGCAAATGGAAATATTTCACCGATATCATATTTAAGTATTTAACGCATTACTAATTAGTAATTAATAGAAAGGTGCCTACCTAATACCTACTAGTATTTTTTCCATTAAATTTATGAATAATAAATAATATTAAAATGTTATCGTTATTATATATTCCTGTTATTTTAAGAAATCAATACATTATTAAGTAATTTAGCTATTAGAACAATTAGTTTGTAAGTTATTACTAAATAGTAATATAGTTGCTTCATTGTAAAATAAAGTAAGTACCTATGTAGATTGTAGGTAAGTATTGTCAGTAGTCAGTATGTGTAATTACTAATTTATTAAGTTTTACAGTCATTGTTATACTAATAAAAATCGATAGAAGAAAATCAAACAAAAATCTATTTACATTTTAATTTGTTGGTACGTAAAATCGAAGTTTGTCTATATTAAGTTAACTTAATATTATTTGTTTTGACTTTTATAACTCACAAGTCATAATATATTTTACATTAATTTATACAATTTATACCTGATTACTCGCGTAGGTAATCAAAATATTTCAATACTAATAAAAAGAATTTACCTTGTGGTAAACCACTGTTGATAACGACGGGTTCAACTACCTTAATTGTATTATCTTCAAGAAAATAAATTATTTTGCATTTTCTTAAATTATAGGTACAGCCAAAGCTTTCATTCACCGTACTTTTGAAATATGCATCGAATGTTAGGTTCTGGAATGAAATCAAGTCCTGATTACTATTTTTAATGTTAACGTATTTATATATTTTATTTGTTCGACTCCGCTTAAAATGATGGTAACTAAATGCTAATAACTTCTAACCAAACATGTAATTGTACAAATTTTGTACACCAACATTTAAGTACCTCGTCTACGATTTATTTACCTGTTTATCAAATACTAGCCAGGTAGGTTTTTTGGCTTCTTCGAGATCTGTAGTGGAATTGAAGGCGGAATCACATTTATTTTCATTTTTGACGTGTAATGATCTGACAATATGTACACCGCTCATGATATCAAAATCAGGCGTCTTCGGATACCTCATTTTAATTTCCTTGTATTTATAATTGAATTGTATTAAATTCAATATGTTTGTAAAAAATGACATTTTATTGTAATATATAAAATTATTTACTTTGTTACAAGTTTGAAATCCTGGTATCATTGGCAATTTAAAAGGCATTATTATGTTGGGATTATTCAATACTTAGTATCATTAAATTATTATATGAGCTACTATACGAATATAATAAATTAATCCTTTATAATGTTTTTAAAAAATATTTTAACTCACTTTTAAACAGCAAATAATGATTATATTGCATAACCATATGTAATATACAATGAATAAAGAATAAGCGGTTAGGTATTATGATTTCTATTTCTATATGTTTGGTCAATACATTTAATTTGAGAGGGGTGACTTTAATATTATGTTGCGTAGCTTGGAAACAAAAATCAGTTATAAAAAGGTGGGTAAGTGGATGTCGCTCTGCTGTACAGTAGGTTACAAGTGGGTCACTGTATAATGGATGCTATTAAATTTGAATTCAATGATATAATATCATTGTATAAGAAAAACGATTCTGAGCGAAGACGGTATGTCAGTCTAGGTTTAAGATAAATTATATACAAATCTATGGTATTAAAAAAAAATTGACCTATAATAAATTCCAAATTAATCATATCACATTATCACAATATCCATTAGGTACTTATAACACGTTATACATCAACATCAATAACAAACCCTGATACTATCATCGATATATAATAATTAATAATACACTTTAGAAGTTTCAAGTAGGTACCCCGTACCCACGAATAATATTATATAATCACAACAAAATAACTAGGTTTTTTAATATGAAATTTCGTCCAAATTTGAACATAAAATGACTATAAAAATAAACTGTGATTGTATATTTTTTAGATTTTTCGGTAAGAGAATTAACTACTTACGTAGAATCTTGTTTTAAATTTTCAATCCTTAGCTATAAAAACTGAACATTTTATAATTTATTAATTACGATGATTAATAATTTTCGAGATTTTGAAAAATTCTGTCAAAATTCGATGTTAAAATGCTTATAAAAAAAATTGTGCCTATGTATTTTTAATATTTTTCAACTGATATTGAACAATATATCAGGAGCCTTGTATTAAATTTTTACACTTTTTGGCTAAACAGATAAAACTTAATTGATATTTATAGAAAAAAAAAACTAAAAAAATTGAAAACTGAAAATGTCCGTAAACGGCTCAAAAAGAGTCAAAATATTTTCAAAATTGTATGGTGTATAGGAAATGCTAATATAAACATTCAGTGAAATTTTCATGTATTTACAGTAATTCGTTTTTTAATTACAACAAAAAAAGGAAATTGCCACATGAGAAATCGAGTGAATATCCAATGTTGTAAAAATTTGAATTTCAAACGCTCATAAAAATTTAATTTGACTTTCCGGTAGAGATTTTTTTATTGATAAAGGTAGACAATCTTATGAGTAATCTTGTATTAGATTTTCAAATCTTAGATTTAAAAAGAAAAATTTTTACGAATTCTTAACTCAAAATAATTTGCTAATTTTCATGATTTTTCCATATTTTGTCAATTTTTGAACTTTAAATGCTTGTAAAAAAAAATTGTGACTAAGGATTTTTAATATTTTTCATCTGCCTTTGAAACAACATATTAGGAGCCTTCTATTAAATTTTCAAGCTTTTGCAACCAACAAATAAAATTTTATTGATATTTCTAGAAAAAAAACTAAAAAAAAACGAAAAATGAAAATGTCCCTAAACAGTTCAAAATAAATCAAAATATTTTGAAAATGTTATTGTGTATAGAAAATGCAAATATAAACAACCAGTGAAAATTTCATGTATATACGTTCATTTGTTTTAGAGTTACACCAATAACCAAAATCGATTTTTTGGAAAATCAATTTTGCGTAAAAATTCCCGTTTTTCCTTAATTTTTATGTTGTTTTTCCCGGCGCTTGTGAAAACTACTGGGAAATTTAAATTTTGACCTCCCCAATGCACCAACGATATTCACTTTCCAATCGAACAAGATACTGAAGTCGAAAATCGAAGCATTATTTCGACTACTTATCGTGTACACAGATACAAAAAAAATAAAAAAAGGTGGGCAAGTGGGTGTCGCTCTGCTGTACAGTAGGTTACAAGTGGGTCACTGTATAATGGATGGTATTAAATTTGAATTCAATGATATAATATCATTGTATAAGAAAAACGATTCTGAGCGGTGACGGTATGTCAGTCTATGTATAAGACATATTATATACATATCTATGGTATATTGGTATTAAACAAAAAATTGACCTATTATAGGTACCTATAATAAATTACAAACTAATCATATCACAATATCCATTAGATACTTATAACGCGTTATACATCAACAAAAACCGTGATACTATCATAGATATATAATAGTAC